TTTAAATTTAACTTAAATATTAATTGTTTAAATTAATTGTTAAGATGAAAATTTTGAAATTTTAATCATATATTTTAACATATTCATATTTGTATATTTATATTCGTATTTGTATTTGTATATTTATTTAAAAAAAAAAATTATTTTAAAAATACATTATTAAATATAAAAATATTTATAATGTTAACAAGAGATTAATATCTTGATTTAATTAATATCAATGAAATTGATATTTTAATAATATATATTGTATATGTATTATATATTATGTAACGATTTTTAATTATTTTATTGTTTGACTTGCTCGTAAATTACAATTAATCTCTACAACATTATTTATAGATAATAAATATTAAATATTTTTATAATTAGATAAAAAATTCAAAATCAATTTCTAAATTAAAATTCTAAATTTAAAAAATAAATTTTTAATCCAATTTAAAATTTTTACATTTTACAATTCATATTTCAGATGCGTGTCTAAAGTATTATGCAGTAATGGATATACTTTGGATCCAGTATTAGGAAGATATTGTATTGATATAGATGAGTGTGCGAATGGTACTCATGAATGTACCGCCGATCAAACTTGTGAGAATAGAATAGGTGGTTATGTTTGTTCATGTCCATCTGGACATGTTGTTGGACCGAATAAAGATTGCATCGATATCGATGAATGTAGCCTTTATGGTAACATATGTGGATCAAACAGTCGATGCGAGAATACCGTTGGTTCTTTCAAATGTAACTGCGAAAATGGTTTTGAACATGTTAGTAATTTCGCTGGTAATAGTTGTCAAGTGAGTTATACATTTTTACTTTTAATTCTTCCATTTGAAAAATTTAATCTTTCTAATTATTACCTTTTAGTACCTAGTGCAAGAAATATTCAAAAATGTAGTCAAAGATATACAAGTGTATTTACTACGTAAATCAATTAATAAATAAATTACTTGAGTCCGATTTCCCAATATCAAATAAATTTTAATGTAATTTTAAATGCATTTTTCACTTCGTCATCTATATTAAAATGATTTTCAATTTTCTTCATTCGAAAAAATACAAATTATATAGTTATATATCTATAAGATCATAAATATATTGAAAATGATATTTTTTTTATAAGCATTCTTTTATTCAGATCTTCCACATATAAAAAAATAAAAAAAATCTTGGAAATATTTTAATTGAAATTATTACAAATGAGGAAAAATTTAATGATTATTGGAAATCGGATATAAATTTAATTAAATTTGCAATTTTTAATTGAAAATAGAAAGTTCTTGTTATAGATAATTATAAACTCAATTACTCAATAGTTTCTATTTATAAAGTTTATATTGATAAAAAAGATATTTTTTTAATAAGCTGATTTATTCAAATATATGTATATATATATATATATTAACAATATATATTAACAAAAGAAATTAATTTTTATAATATTCTACATATTTCAATATATAATCATACAACAATATATAAATCGTAATCTAATATTATTGTACTGAATTTTTAACGAAATGTTAAAATCTAAGTACCCAAATTATTTGATTATTCCAAACTATTTGGAAAAAGCTATACTGAGTTTAAATATCTATAATTTTATTTATTTATATAATATATACAATTCTTCATTTTTAAAAATTTTATATAAAATTTTAAACATTTGGATTATTACAAACATAGTATTATTACAAATTTTAAACATAGTATTATTACAAACTTATATATTAAATTATACTACTCTTATTTTTATACATCTATAAAAATATAGATATTTTAACTCGGATAATATTTTTAAACATGAAACAAAAAAATTATTTTGTTTATTATTTTCTTATTTTAATTTTTTTATTTTATTTTAGGATATCGATGAGTGTGCACGAACACTTGGTTTGTGCCAACATACGTGTTTCAACACGTGGGGGAGTTACAAGTGTATCTGTAAATCTGGATTCAAATTGAATGCAGATAATCGTTCTTGTACAGACATCGATGAATGTACAGAGTTTAAAGATAACTTATGCGTAGGGATTTGTGAAAATACACCAGGCAGTTATGTTTGTAAATGTCCAGATGGTTATAAGCTCGGACATAATGGCCGTACTTGTGAAGGTATACTTTTTACTTATTAATTATACATATTATGCAAAAGATATAATTACAATGATAATAATAAATATATAAATACATGTAAATAAACAAAAAATGTGGATATATGAATCAAAAAATAAATTTTCAAATTACCAAAATAATTTTAATATTAGAAATACTAGATATATTGAATATATTTAATTAAAAAATTTTAAATATCATATGCAAGAATTTTTTCTTGACTATTGAATATTCAAATAAAACAAATATTTATGTTCTCAGTCATTTATCAACGCTTTATCATTTATCATATATCTTTATTATCACGCAATTACCAATTACATTTTGTACTTGACCCAATCATTAAAAATTAAGATCATTAAAATTTAAATTGTTTGTCCTTGACTTCTACAACTAGTAAAAATTAGAG